GTGCGAGTGCACTACCAAACCCATACGCCCCCATCCTCCCCCGCCACCCCCCTACATCCCCTACCTCCACCCCCACCCCCTCCCTCCCCCCCCCCCTTACCCCCCTCCCCCTCCCTCCCCCCTCCTCCCTCTCCGCCTTATCCGAATTTGATTCGACAAGCAGGATGAAAAGATGCTAGACGAGCAGCTGAGTGTAATCGTCAACACTCAGAACAGGTGAAGGAGGGAGGGTCTGAGGGAGAGAGAGGAAGCGAACGAGTGAGGGGGAGGGAAGGAGGGAGGGGGAAGGAAGGGAGACAAGGAGGAGGTGAGGGAGGAGGAAGGCGATTCAGTTAACATTCTTGCAGCGCGATCATTCAGATCTTGTTGGAGATTTGCTTGCCCTTCGTTGAAGATGATTCCTTGCTTGCTATTGAGGTGCCTGCTGCTGCTCTTTGTCCTCGTCCTCGCCCTCGTTCTCGTCCTCGTTCTCGTCCTCGCCCTCGTCCTCGTCCTCGTCCTCGTCCTCGTCCTCGTCATCGTTTTCTCCCCTCTTCCTGTTTCTGTTCCTCGCTGCAGGTCAGCTATGTTGTGACGGCTTAGGTCAGAACCGCAAGGCGATCTGTCAGTACATTCATCGAGTATTTATCAAGAATACCATCCTCGTCAAGCTCGTCCACTTCCAGGTACCTTGCCTCCCCCTCCTCCCCTCTTTCCTCCTCCTCCCCCTCCTCAACTTCCTCCCCTTTCTCTTTCTCGTCCTCCTCCTTCTCCTCTCTCCTCCTTGTCCTCTATCTCCTCCTGATCGTCCTCCTCCTCTCCTCGTTATCCGCCTCCTCGTCCTCCTGGTTCATCCCTTCTCCCTAGGGAATTTCTCCCTCTCTCTTCTCTCAGCTCTCTTTCTCCTCTGACTCTCCGCAGGGTTACAATCCGAAACTCATCAAGTGCCTCGTCGACAACGTTCCTGCCATGCATGTACGAGCGAAAATTATTTCCTCCTCCCTCCTCCCTCCTCCCTCCTCCCTCCTCCCTCCTCCCTCCTCCCTCCTCCCTCCTCCCTCCTCGTTCCCATCCTCCTCTTCTGTTCCTTCCCCCTCCTTCCCTCTTGGCCTCCCTCACATCCTCGAAGATTTGCAGGGAATGGCTTCCGGAACTGCTCTCGCAGCCTGACCCCAGGACTCGCTCCTTCGCAGGTTTATAGCCCGTGCCTCCCAATCTCCTGTCCTCCTTCACCCATCTACCTTCTCCTCCCTTCCCCTTCCGTCCTCCCCCTCCCCCTCCTTCCCTCCCCGTCTACCTTCTCCCTTCCTCCTTCCTCTCTCTCCCCTCCTTCTTCCTCCTGACCCTCTCTCCTCCTCCATTTTCTCCTCCCTGCTCACTTCTCAATTGCTATCACTCCAGCCTCTCCTCTCCTCTTCCTCCTTCTGACTTGCTGCAGTGCTGCTCGCTGGGCATGTCGCGCACAAATGGCCTCTCAAGGAGACGGAGAAATTGGTGTGTTTGAAGTCAACGAAGGGGAGGAAGGAGAAGAAGCGATGATGGGGATGGGAAGCTGGGGGGGAGGAGGGAACTGACAAGGACGGAGGAGGAGGCCTTTATGGCTTGAGGAGGAGCAAAGAGGGAAGGGGGAAGGAGGGATGGGCAGTGGAGGACACGGAGGAAGAGGAGGCTAACTTCTATGCAGGTGAACCTCGCCCTCCACCGTATCCGAGAAGCTGCAAGCTCTGACGACAGGTAAAGTCAGAGGGACCTTGGCAAGAGAGGAGGGGGAGGGTTGGCAGCGTTAGCAGCATCCTTAGCTCCCTCCTCCTCCTCCTCCTCCTCCTCCTCCTCCTCCTCCTCCTCCTCCTCCTCCTCCTCCTCCTCCTCCTCCTCTGCCTTCTCCTCCTCCGCCTTCTCCTCCTCCGCCTTGTCCTCCTCCGCCTTCTCCTCCTCCTCCTCCTCAGCAGCAGCAGCAGCAAGTAACTCAGACTTCAGGGCTTCTCTTCGAGAGATGATTCCTATCCTCCCTATTATGGCTGTGACGTTCCCTCGGACGGGACTAGAAGAGGCTGTCCCAGTTGCTCAGCAAGCCGTCAAGGTGCCTTGAGTTTCCTCTCCCTCCTTGCCCCTCGTTCCTTCCTCTATCCCTTCTTCCCTCCCTCCCTCCCTCCCTCCCTCCCTCCCTCCCTCTCTCCCTCGATGCTCTCTTTCCCCTTCCTCAGTCATCTTCCCCTTCCCATCCTTTGTCATGTTCCTCTTTGCTCTTGCTCTCTCTTGTTCTCTCACTGCTCCGCAGGTTCTCGTACAAGTCAAGTTTGACACCTCGACGGAGGAGGACGAGGTGAGAGGCTGTGGAAGGGAGGACAGGACAGGACAGGACAGACGAAGCGAGGAGAGGGAGGGGAGGGGAGGGGAGGGGAGGGGAGGGGAGGGGAGGAGGAGGGGAAAGGATGTACACAAGGGAGGTAGAATGGAGGAGGGAGAAGGAGGAAGGAAAGTGCAAAACTGATCCCATTGTAGGAGGAGAAACTCGACGGTTTGATCGACGAGGCCATGACTGGTGAGCAGCTTGTAGCTTCCTCGTCCTCCTCACTCTTTCACGCAGCCATCATGGAGCGCGTGCTGCTGCTGCAAGGAGTCGCCGTGTGAGGAGTCACAGACACGAACGAGAGCAAAGAGGACGAGCGGTGGGGTATGCGGCAATGGCGCAGAGGTAGGCAGGAGAGGAGGAGGAAGAAGATGAAATGAGGGGGAGAGGAGGCGGCAAGGAGTATGTAGCAGGAGCAAGCGTGTAAACTGAGTTTACTGTCTCTGTCCCTCGAAACCTCTGCGATATTCTCCTCCTCTCACTACCCGAGGCCCTCGGTCTCCTCCTCCACGTTCCCCTCTAGGCCCTCGCTGCCAGCCGCCGCCAGCCTTGTTCTGCTGCTTGAACTCGTAGCCGCCGTAACGCTGATCCCAACCCTGATAGACAAGTCAGAGAAAGGCAGGAGAGGGGGAGGGGGAGGGTTTGATAAGAAATGCTGTGAACCGACAAACATGAAACAGAGGACGAGGAAGGAAACTGAAACTTGTGAGCAGGAAATCAGGTGAGAGAGGAGAGAATGACGTGAAGAGGAAGAGGAGGAAGGGAGAGAGAGGAAGAGGAGGGAGAGCCTGAGGAAGAGGAGGGAGAGCCTGAGGAAGAGGAGAGGCTGAGGGCAGATGGGAGGGAAGACACAGCCACAGCAGCACACACACAAAGGATCTCATCCCATCGGACATCACCTTCTCATTGCTTTCTACGAGCTTGCCGAGGAGGTCCGAGTACTGCAAGCCGATATGGTGCAGGCGGCTCCTCTCCTTTTTGTGCATCACGATGGAGCCAGTGGGCTGGTCCCAGGATGCGAAGAGTTCCTCCGAGATGATCATCTTGCTCACGAGCGTGTTGACGACCTGACGCTCGAGCTCGAACATGTCGCAAAGCTGCTCCAACGAGAGGGCGTCGTAGAATGCCGAGTAGGCGAACAGAAACGTCCGCAGCGCCTCCTCCTTGATCTTCCTCCTCAGCATCTCCGTCACCTTCACCACGCTCTCCTCGCTCCCAATCTGGCTCCAGACAGGCAGCGCCAGGATGTGCGCCTCGCACTGCCGCCAGTCTCCCTTCTCCAGCGCCCGGGCGCCCGCCATGATGACGTCACGGGTCGTCTCGGGAGGGCCCGAGAGGGGGTTGCGGTCCGAGTTGTCGAAGACTCGCTTGAGAGCACGGGAGGTCCACTTCCTCTTGGAGTCGTAGGCCATGGCCACCATCTTGGGGATCTCGAGCAGGAAAGCGCCGACGAGGTGGCAGCACTCGATGAGCTCCAAGTTGATGTGCATGTGGTAGGGAGTCTGGCGCTTTCGCTCCGCCCGCTCCTGCGTCTCGTTCCTGTCGTTGTAGCGCTGGGAGGAGATGCCCTGGGCCAGGAGCTCCTTGAGGCGATTGTTGCAGCAGAGCTCGTCGAAGCAGTTGTGCGCGTCCATGATCAGACCGCAGCGGAAGGCGGAGAGGCCCAATTGTGCCATGGTGCGGTTGAAGAGGATCTGAGTGGGGATGGTGTAGGACTGGTGGATGTTGTCTTGCAGGTGGCTCATCAGCATCATATCCCGCGCTTGATAGAAGCGATCGTGCAGCGCGTGGTAGTAGATCTGACAGAGCATCGCCTTGGTGCGGATGGTGTCGTCACCGTACTGGTACACCAGCATCGCCATCTCCTCGATGAAGGCCGCTCTGTTCTCCACTCTGTCCCCATGCTGCTGGACGATGGTTCCAGCCTTGGCCACGAGCGAGTCGTGCTTGTAGTAGAGATGCTCGAGGCGGCGCATGGCGAGCCTGGCGGCCACGTCCTTCTTCCCCATCTTGAGGTAATACGTCTGCACATCCTCAGCAAGCTGGAGGAAGGGAGCGATGTCCAGCAGGCGCTTCAGGAACTCCGGAGCATGGTTGTCGAGAAGCCGCAGGGAGAGGTAGAGGTCGTCGTCGAGCCGCTCGACAAAGGAGACCAAGTTGCTCGCCACCTGCAGAGGCTCGTCGTCCTCGAACATGTCGTCGGGGACCTGAGCCCGGGAGACCGTGGCAGCAGACTGCCCGGTGTTCTCCTCGTTCAGCTCCGGGTTCTCACTGAGCACCTCGAGGAGGCGGCGGATGTTCCTCATCGTCTTGGTCCACAGGCACTGGTCCCTGGAGGACACCTTGCTGCCGTTCTGGTTCTCGATCTCGAAGCTGATCGGGAGGAGGCCCAGCCCAGCTCGGTCACGCTGCTGCGCCTGATGGTGGAGGAATTGGGCAGTGATGAGATCGAACTGGGAGGAGATCAAGTGCACGAGAACTTGCGCGGTCATCATGGGGGAGATGTTGGCAGTAGCAAGGACCTCGAGCTGAGGTTCAAGTAAGCAGAGGAACAGCAAGAGCTCGGGAGTGAACCTGAGCAATCTGGTCCTTCTTGGAGGTTCCCTTCTTTCCACGGACGGCCAGAGTCTCCTCCAACTTCTTCTTTACGTTCTCCTCGGTCAAGACCATCTGCTCCTCTTTCTTGCCAGAGTCCTGTTGAGGACGTCAGCACCAACAGGCAGCCTCATGCCGCTGTCAACCTTGGGCTTGTCTTCGTCCTCCTTCCTTGCCTTGGTTTCTCTGACCTGCAAGAATAGTCAGCCCCTTGCGCCTTGTACGATGACTTCTGTCTCACCTTTGGCTCCTTCTTCTTCTTCACTTTCTCGAAGCCGTCGTCGTCAGAGGAGTCCGACCCATCGCCAGTCTTCATCCACTTGCTGATGCCGGTGGCGCCGCTTCTACCAGCATCATCGCTGGAGGACGAGTCGTCTGCGGAAAGCGAGTGAACTATGGTTGAACAACAGGTCAAGTCAGCACCTGACGACGAGGACGACCACTCATCTTCATCGTCGTCATCGTCCTCCTCCTCATCGTCTGCATGGAACGTATGAGTTTCACACTTCAAGGAGTAATCTGTAGCACCGTCATCTTTCTTCTTCTTGGGCTTCTCGTCTTCACTTTCGCTCTCCTGGAGGACACAACTATGAGCCACCATGGCGGAGGCCTTCAGCGGTTACTCACAGATTCGCTCTCGGACTCGCTCTCGGACTCGCTACTCTCATCTTCCTCTTCGTCCTCGTCCTCACCCTTGAGACGATCAAATTTAGCCACTCCCCTTCTTATATGAAACATCCAAACCTCGTCTTCCACGGGGTTTTCAAGGAACTTGGCGATCTCATTCTCATACTACACAGCAGAGAGTTGTCAGCATTACAGACTGCGACAATCTGCATTCCATTCTACCTGAGCATTGTTCTTCTTGATGTTCTGCTTCATGGCATTCAAAGACTTCGCATTCGTCTTGCTCATCTTCTTGACCTGGAAGAGCGTGCGAGTCAGTTCTCCGCACATGCATCAGCCTCATCGCAAGAACCTTGTCCTTGTCCTTGGTAGTCTCTTCGACAACCTGTGCCAACTTGGCGATGATGGAGATGTAAAACTTGGGGACTCCGGACTCAGAGATTAGGTTGGACGCCTTGGAAATCTGTTGGTTGAGCTTCTGAAAGTCTACCAGCGTATCAGCAGGGAGCAAAGTCTGATCACTGTCACAGTACCGCTTGCAATGGCATTCCAATCATTGATCTTCATAGCATTTTGCAGCGCTAAAGCAGATATCAGCAACACGATGTCAACGTCCTTCAATTCCCACCTTTGACCGTCTGCCTCATTTCATCGTATCTCTTGTCCTTTTGCGAGACCACCTTCCTTGGTCCTTTGCGGACGGGAGCGTCCTTGGTGAAGGATGAGGACTTCTTGAGCTGCTGCTGCGGTTTCTCATCCTCAGACGATTCCTCTTCGGAAGTCTCCTCCTCCGACTCGGTCTCCTCCTCGGACGATGAATCACCAGGTTTGGCAAAGAACCGAGACATCTGCTCAAGCACAGGGCAAAGCAAACGTCACAAGGGGACACAATGGATGGAAGTCTACATATCAGACAGTATGTGTGCCATTTTTCACCTAAGAATGACTGTTCGTGCAACATGCACATCTATCTACGTCATCGCCAACACAATGGTGTTGTCCAGTACAAGCAAAGGCCGAGACTGCACTATCCGTCCTCCTCCCACATTCAATCTATGAATCAGTGCATATCCTTGCTTCCTCATCCCAGGCCGACATCACCATCGTGCCCTCTACCATCGTCCCTCCCGCCATCCCGCTCTGCCATACCTGCAGCTGCGTCGGCACTTGATTTCAGGCTCGATCACCCAATTTTTCAAAATGCACAATATTTCGATCAAAAATAGATGAAATAATTCAATTTGCTGTATGGCTTTTAAACCTGTATCAAAGCATGTTATGCAAGGACCCCCTTCGGAAAGGTCCCGATGACGTGGGCGCCTCGTGCAATTCGGGCGAAAGAAAGACCCACGTGACCATAGCAGTTGTCACGTGACACAACCCGTTTAGTCACGTGATCAGTGGGATCCAGAAAGATGGTAGACCATTTCTTACCTACCCACCCCCACCTAAAATCCTTGTATCAGCCTTGGACACACACCCCTCGTGTACCACAACCCCTTATTTGCTATATGACTGAAGGGGTCTGGGTGGTTGATGAAAATGCGTTGAAGAAATCGGGTGGTCACTGAGGAGGGGTAGTCAGTATGAATCAGAGGGTACTCGATTAGTAAATGGTGGGTAGTGGATTGTTCCAAGGTGGGTCAGGGTGGGTGATGGTAGGGTGGGGTGCAAAAGGAAACGGGGTGGGGCCTTGAAAAGGAGTTGCCGTTGCAAGGAGTCGGAGAGAAACGCGAAGTTGGCAGCGAACAACAGGGTGAAGAAGGAACAAGAGGAGAAGCTCGAGAAGCTGCCTTGTGTGCAAACAGTGGAGATTGAGCCATCGAGTGTTGAGATCGGAGATTGATCGAGAAGCAACGAAGGAATGGGCGCCCAAGACGAAAACGCATGTCCTAACCTCCTTTCGGCGGATCCTACCGCATTGCTCCTGAGTGCCAAGAGGGAAGTCTATGAGGCTGCCGAATCAAAGGCGGCCATGCTATTGCAGCAGAAGATCGAGCAAACTGAACAGATAGAAAGGGAAGAGATTCGATACGTGCTTGCTCTTCAGAGTGAAGAAGACGAGAAGCTTTTGCAGCTCGCCAAGCAGGAGGAGGAGGACCTTGCTATGGCGCAGAAGGCACAGGAGGAGGAAGAGGCGGAAGCGCAGAAGATTGAAGACACGAAGAAGGTCCAGGTGTCTGATGACGAGAAGCTTGCCTTCGAGATGCACAAAGAGCTCGTGGATGAGCTTCACAGCGCTGTGCACAAGGACGATAGGAGCAAAGTGATCGCCCTGCTCAAACAGGGAGCGAATGCAAGCCTCGTCCTCCAAGAGGGAGTGACCAACTCACCTCTGCAGATCGCTGTGCTCAGGAACCTCCCGGAGATGGTGAGGATACTTGTCAACGGTCAGGCGGACATCAACTACACCAATTCGCGCAAGGAAACGGCTCTTCACTTCGCAGCTCAGAAGAACAGGATGGAATGCCTGAAGATCCTGATGAAGGAGAGACCGAACCTCGACATCCAGAACGTGGACGGGCACACTCCCCTGATGGTGGCAGCCAAGGCCGGATACTCCGAGCCAGTGAAGTATCTGGTCGACAACGGAGCAGACCCTTACTTGAAGGACCTGAGGAATAGGATGGCGCTACATCTCGTTCCCTTCCTCTGTCGATCGCTCAGAACACTCCTCGAAGGCATGTGTGGCTGGAGCTTGCTTGAAGCCTCTTCCAAGGGCCGTGGGAATGACGTCGTTGACCTCGTCAGGCGGGGGGCGAGTACTCAGATATCTGACGAGCACCTGAGAACCCCGTTGCACTTAGCAGCTCAGGGAGGGCATGGAATCATCGTGGAATACCTTCTTCAGCACCATTGCAAGATCGATGCCGCAGACGACCAGGGTCAAACTGCCCTGCACAAGGCAGCGTATGCAGACAAGAACCTTGTCGTGCGGATCCTGCTCAACGCCGGGGCAGACACAACGGTCAAGGACCAGAATGGAAAGACAGCGATTGATATTGCTGGAGCGCTATCGAAGAAAGTTCTGCAGCAAGAAAAGTCGGCATGAATTTTTTTTTATTCTTTATCTAACCTACTAATCACGGTCACCAAGTTTCAATCTGCTGTCAATGGCGATCATAGTACTACGTTATCTTCTGTAGTAAATTGTTTGTATTCGCCAAAGTTTTCAGTTTGTCCAAGTTGTTCCCGGCGAACTTCAGAACAGTTTTAAGTTCGCTAGCCCGGGCCGACTCCGGGCGACCGTCCGGGAGTCCGGGCAGGGCCGCGGATAACTTCCAACAATCGGACCTCTAATACTTGAACTCCCAAAGAACTTTGGAACACCGCGGCCCGGCCCACTGCCGCACTGCCCCCGCCCGCCGCCGCCGCCGCCCGGCGGCCCGGCGGTGCGGTCGCTGAGTGCCCGGCGCGGCCCGTCGGCCGCGGCGTGCGGCGGGCGGCCCGGCGGCCGGATCCTCCGGGCCCGCTGCCGGGCCCTGGCCGGGCCCGGTTCTTCAGAAGGTGAGGCGGGTTTGATCCATGGCAGGAGCGATCGGCATGAAGCGAGGGAGAAGGGACATAACGGTTGCAGAGAGCGACGACATGGCGACGACAGCGCTGGGAGGACACGTGGTTGCGTCAGATGTCAGTGAGGAAGCGAGGAAAGATAGGCCACACTCCAAGCTGTGGATGGAGAGAACGGGGGCATTCGAGTGTAGCGAGGACGAGCAGATTTCGGAGGACATGGTGCTCAAGGGGAAGGTCGTTGCAAGAGGAGTAGAGAACTTGGTTGAGATTTCTTTCACAGAAGTACTACTCCAATGGGAACAGGGGTGTTGTCTACATCGCTACATGTGTGATGAAAGGAGGAGAGGTTAAGGTTAGTTTGCTTTGACTGTTTGACCTGTGATATCATGCACAACATTTTTTCGCAGGTTGCGGTGAAAGAAATTTTGCATGAGAAGCACATCAAGCCTGGGAGGTGCTACATTGGAGAAGAAGCATTGGAGAAGGAGGCGGGGTGGCTGCAGCGAGCAAACGAGCATGGCATCGGACCAAGATTCCTCTACGGGGATTCGAGGAAAGTCATAATGGAGTTTGTTGAAGGAAAGAGGATTTTGGCATTCATTACCGAGGAACACGACGAGGAACGGTACCTTCATCAACCGAATGTTTTGCGTCGTGATACATTTGTCTCAGCTGCAAGAAAGCACTCTGCGAAGTTTTGACTCAGTTGCGGAAACTTGATTCATTGCACATTCACAAAGGAGAGTTTGTCAGACCGGACCGACACATTCTCATCAGAGATGATGGAACGCCTGTACTGATTGACTTCGAGCGATGTAAAGAATCGTCTACTCCTCAGAATATCACTCAGTTCGTCCAATTTCTGGCAGGTATCAAGGTAATCCTAGCTTGCTCCTGTTACCATGAAAATCCACCGAACTGATCACAAACTAGCTGGATGCAGCTCTGCATTCAAACGGCAAGAACGTGAAGATCAATGGAGAACGTCTCCGCGAATTGTCGCGAGATTACAAATCCCAAGGGTCTTCGACGCTTCTGTGCCCTCAAGGAGATGCTGACACTGTCGGATTCAGGTACAGGGAGCAAGAGTTCGAGCTTATGTTGAATCTGATTAGAAATTCATGAAACGCTTGAAAGCGTCTTTCTTCCCTCCCCTACTAAGTCGGTCACTGGGCCGCGGCTGCGCGCCGCCGGGGCCGCCGGCGGCCCGCCGGGCCGGGCCGGGCGTAGTAGGGCCTTCACCGTAGGCTAGGCGGCTATCATGCCGCGTGGACGGCTGGCCGTCGGACGGCGGGCCGGGCACCGCAAGACCGGGCCCGGCGGGGCGGGAGGCCTGCCAAGCCTCCGGCCGGGCCTTGAAGTTGTCGGACTCGTTCAACGGTTTGAAACCGTCCAGGCTTAAAGTTTTGTTCATGAAAACTTTGTAAGTTCCAAACTTTGGGCGGCCACCATGACGTGAGTCCGCTGCGAGGGAGAGGGCAGCAGGGGAAAATCAGAAGGAGCAACAACAAGACAGCAAGACAAGCAAGACAACAAGAGCCTGCCACGACATCTCATCCAGCGAATGACAATGTCGAGGCTCTTCTTCATCGCCTTCTTTACCGCCATGGCTGTAGCACCTGTACATAATTTCGTCTTGTCACCTGTAACGCCACAGCCCTTACTCAGCAAGAACAGCTGCGGTAAGCTCTCCCCCCTGTATCCCTCTTGACGCCTTGAACCTCTCTTGCTCCTCCCGATAGCCTTGCTACCCGATGCCGAATGAATCGGATGCACTGCAGGCCTCAGATCAAGAGCATCTGTTCACTCGGGACACGTCAGAGGAAACCAACCCCTCGCCATGTCCCTGGGGTCGGAGGTCGTGGAGATCATGGTCGACCTCGCCTCCTCCACATCCACCTGGCTGGTTGATGAGGCTGAGCATCCCGTGAGGGCCTTGGGGGAGTTCTCTGCCATGGAACAGAAAAGAATCCTGAGCTTCGAGAGCCTTGCTCTAGCTCCTTTGTACCTCCTCATGGCAGCGTAAGCGATCTCATTCCTTGTGCTCTCCCGCTCTTTTCCGACCCATTGCTCCCCTCCTCTTGCTCCGCTCCCCCAATCCCCCTCCTCCCTGCTTATCGTCTCTTCCCCCGCCGTCTTTCTGTAACTCTCGTTTCATTCTCCTCCTGCTTCTCCGCCCTGTGCCTTCCTTCAGCCATCCCCTGATCTTTCTTCCTCTCCAGCGAACCGACGTCCCCTCGCTCCATCGCCGTCCGTAGGAGCTGGTGGACTGTCCTCCTGCTTGCCGTCGTCTTCGGCAGCATCGGCAGGTAAGGAGCCGACCCATCGCCCGCTGCTCCGCCATCGTCTCACATCGCCTGCAGCACCTTCGGCTTCTACTTCTTCGACATCTTCATGGCTCGCTGCATTGCGCACGACGCGACGGTCAAGGCGCGTCATGCCGTGACTCACTCGATCCTGTGAGCTAGCGGACCTGACCGGATCCCGTTGACCCGCGTGCTCTAGGTTATGCTTCTTCCTTGGGGCCCCGTACGGGTGGGTGTCGAACAAGCTGACGGGGCTCGTGTCGAGGATCTCAACGTACCAGAGAACGTGATGGTTTTCAGGTGTGTTCACTTCGAATGTTCCTCCATGAAAGAATCTACACGTTCTGCACTCTACCATGAGTATGATTGCTCCATCCCCATCATTTCATGCACATTCTCCTAACATTCGTCTGATTTCTCCTCCAACCTTCCTTCACGTTCTGCTGTTAAGAACGCATCGAAAGTTTCCTTTACTATCATCTCACCGTCGCTTGCTTTCTCCTCAGCTCTTGTCTAGAGTGGGAGATACTCTACAATTCCCTGACTGTCCTCGTTCACTCGCCGCGGGCAGGGGCGAGACGTCATGCTCAGCCTTCTCAGCTGCCAGCGCCTTCATCTTGGCCTCGAACCTCTTGTTCTCCCTGTGGCTTTGATTGGACCTGCACGGAACAGAATCATCATCATCATCATCATCATCATCATCATCATCATCATCATCATCATCATCATCATCATCATCATCATCATCATAATAGCCTCATCTTCGCGCCCTGCTCATTCTCTCCACTCGGTCTTCCTCCTCACAACCCAAACCACCGATCTCTTCCTTCCTGATCCCCTGTCCGACTCTCTCTCCTTCCTCCTGCTGCTCCCTCCCGCCCCCTCCCGTCTACCTGTAGGTCATCCAGACTCCAACAGCGTTCAGACACACAAAGGTAAAGCAAAGGCTCGCAAAGACAGCAGTCGTCAGCTGGTATTCAAAAACGCACAAGAAAAACGTCAGAACTCTTGAAGAGATCGTTCAGCAACTTTTTCACCTGCGACTGAGCGCCGACGTTGAGGTCGGACACCGGCATGTCCCAAGGAGACATTCCGTGTCCTCGCTCCCGCTGCCACTGTTGTTGCGATCAGATGCTGATGGGCAGATAGAGCGGGGGGAGGAGGGAGGGAGGGAGGGAGGGAGGGAGGCAGGGAGGCAGGGAGGCAGGGAGGCAGGGAGGGAGGCAGGGAGGGAGGGAGGGAGAGAAAGTGTGAATGAGGAGGTGGAGGAATGCGAGGGGCGAACAGCAGGAGGATAGAAAGGAAGGAGACAGGAAGGGGATAAAAGTAGGAAGCGGTAGGAATTTGTGAAAGGTCGGTGGGGGGAGGGGAGAAAGGGTCGGGTCGGAGGCCAGCGGGGACAGGAGGGAGACAGGAGGGGGAGGGGGAGTGGTAGTGAGGAGGGGGAGACCATCTCTCCCCCGGAGAAGATTGCATCTCCTCCGGAGAAGATTGCATCTCCTCCGGAGAAGATTGCATCTCCTCCGGAGAAGATTGCAGAGGAGATCGAAGAGGAGGGGGAGGAGGAGGAGGAGGTGGTGGTGGTGGTGGTGGTGGTGGTGGAGAGTGTACAACCTTGCCGTTCAGGCATATCTGTGGTTCCCCTCCATCGGTAGGGGCTTGACAGCGTTTGGATCCCTCTTGACATCTGAGGAATTTGAGTTCGATCAACCGAGTCGAGAGGTCGAGAGGAACGAGGAGGAGGGAGGAAAAGAGGAAAGGGCGAAGGAGAGGTGAGTTGGAAGGAGGAAGGGAGGAAGGGACAGTGAAGGGACGCAAAGGACGAGCTGCAGAACTTACATCTGGCACTTCCCCCGATTACAATATCCACTCCAGTCTACACTCGGAGAAACGAAATTGTACCTGTCGATTAGTTACAAGGAGTGAAACTCGTTCACGAGTTTAGATTGGATCATCCCTCTTCTATCAAGCAGCACGAGACAACATCGCTTAAACCTGTCCCCCCCCAGTCCCCCTTACTTCTTTCAAGTCCTATCCCCTCCTCCTCCCCCTCCCTCTCCCCCTCTATCGCCATCCTACTCCCTAGCCTCCTACTCCCTCTCCTCCTCCTCCTTCACCACTCCCTGCCTTTCTCTTTCTCTTTCTCGCCCTCCCTCACCCTGCAGACGCGAACGTCGCGTCGTTAGCCTGACATGCTGGGTCAGCAAAAACTTCCCCGATTGTGCTATCGCGATAACCCGCCCACTGCCATGACCGTCAGGAGAGACAAATCGACTGAGTCACAATCTTCACCCGAGGGCAGACGGCAGCCATGTTGGCAAAGTTCTTGGTGCTGAGGTCGGAATCTGTTTCTCCCTCACTGCACCTGGTGATGTCCTGTGACAGGCTGCGACAAAGTCATTCATCTGCCAGGACGAGGAGGAGAGGAAGGAGGAGGAGGAGGAGGGGAAGGAGTAGTAGTAGTAGGAGGTGGTGGTGGTGGAGGAAGAGGGTTCTTACCCGCCAGCAACGGAGCAGGGGTAGAAGTCGGGAGCCCAGGAGTTCACTCGACCGCAGAAGCTACTGGCTAGAGGCTTTGACAGCACGTTGAGGGCAACCCGAGCAACGCTGACAGCTTTCCCGTCGCTCCTGACCCGCCATGAGCATCACAAGAAGCCAAGAGGAAATGTTGCTGCCTCACCTCTTCTCAGAAACGACAGTTGACGTGATGGTGTCGGCGAAGTGGACAGAGCATGGCGTGCTGGGAACGTCGTACTTCTTGCACCTGCTGCTGATGTTGAGGCCCTCGAAGGCAAGCCCATACAGTTCATATTGTTTCATCAAGCGCGTGTAGTCTTCGTTCGAGCTCGTCCCTGCCGTCCCAGAGTTGGTGGAGGTCACTCGGGGTATCTTGAACTCTCCTACACCGCAGTACTCGTTGACAGGACAGTCACAGTCCGTCACGCACTCCACACAAACACCCTTCACTTGCGCGGTCCCAGCCGATGGCGTTGGGTCGGAGTAGGAGATGGTGTTGAGGGTAGGAGTGGTGTCCTTCCAGTAGACGTAGCAGTGGGGATACCGCGCGTCCTTGCAGTCAGCAGCTGAAGCGCAGAAGTCGCCATAGAGGGCGGAGGAGGGGAGGACTAGGAGCGCGGCTAACGCATAAAGTATCCACACTCTTGCCATTCGACGAGGTCGGTTAAGGGTAGGGGGTAATTCAGTACGGGTATATTTGTAAACATTTGGGTGATGAGGAATAGGTGGGGTAGGAAAGAGATGAAGGGGGTGGGTGTTTTGACTAGGATGGTCAAATGTGGGGTCAAACATGAAGGGAAGGGAAGTAGAAGGGAAGTAGAAGACGAGGGAGGGAGAGAGGGAAGGGAGGGAGAGAGGGAAGGGAAGGGGAAACGCTAGATAGGAAGAGGAGAGAAACTTAGAAGAAGAGGACATGATAGTGTTAAGATTTGTTCTACTTGTCGTTCAATAGTTATCATAGTACTTGCTTTCTAGACAGAAAGTCGTCTCCATCGCTAGTGACGACTAGGAAGGAGAGGGACTGAAAGGAGTTCTCCTCCTCCCACCTATCGCAACTTCCTCGCCTCCCTCGTCCAGTAGGAGTGGATGGTGTACTGCAATTGAAGCCTCACCCCCTCTACCCCCTCAAACTCCCTCACCTTTGCGATTTCTTCTCTCTTCCTCCACCTACACACCATCTTGTCAGCCTTTTGACCTCCTTTTGACCGTCTCCTCCTCTCACCAGAGCCCCGAGATGCGATCGAGGGGGTCGAAGTTGAAGATGCCGGGCTCGGCGATGCCTCTTGCTTCCGCTGCTAGCGAAAAGCGACGAGACCTCAAGTACGTGCCTGTCACTTGGATGTGAGTAGCAGAAGGAGGGAGGAGAGAGAAAGCAGGATGGGAAGCAGCAGGGAAGACAGGAGTAGAGCAGGAGCAGGGGCAGGGGCAGGGGCAGGGGCAGGAGCAGAAGTGAAGGGACCCAGCATGAGGTCGGAGTAGAGGTGATGAGCGACTCGTGGGGGTGGCTCCTTGCCAAGAACCTGACGCAGTGATGAGATGAAGCAGAGAGGAAGGAGGAGGGAAAGCAAGGGGAGGAGGAGGGAGCGCAGGAGAGGAAAATAGGGAAGCAAAATGGAGGGGAGAAAGAAACAATCGGAGGCTGAGGGGAGAACAGGGCGAGGAGGTACAAGGTTTCACCTCTGTAAACGCCTTGCGAAAGCGGTTGTGAGGGGAGTAGGAGATTTCGTAGAAGAAAACGTGATCGACTTCGTTCAAGGGAGAACTTCCTGGTTGTTCTCCAGTCAGTTGGATCAAGGAGGAGCTATCTTCACGAAGTCTGCCGACGCTCTTCCCTCCCTTGAGCAAGCGATTCATCCTAAGCTTCTGCATGACAGCAGATCAACCAAGTGTTGTAACAAAACGATCGGGTCCACCTTCCCCTCCTGTTTTTTTCGCTCCACCTTTCCCTCTCTCCCCTTCCCCCTTTCTCCCTCTCCCTCTCCCTCTCCCTCTCCCTCTCCATCTGTTTCCCTCCCTCTCCATCTGTTTCCCTTCCTCCCGCCCCTCTCTTTCCCTCCTCTCCTCTTCCCACCTCATGGTGCATGTACTGGTCATCGCGATGAATGCCGTTGTACCACTCCTGGTAACTTCAAAATTTTCACCTCCAACATCGCCCGACTCGTTGACGCACGTGTAAGAGCCGGTAGACGGAGCGACGTCGATGAGAGCAGAAGCGCCTTTGCCCTCAAACCTCTTGTAGGTCACGTTGGTGTAGCCGGGGAAAAAGTCCTCGTAGATGCACTGAACAAGTCAGGAGGAGTGAGTTGAAGGATGAGCTGAGTTGAGGTGGAGATGGAGAGCAGCGAGAGAGGAAGGGAGACGAGGACGAGGACGAGGACGAGGACGAGGACGAGGACGAGGACGAGGGAGGACAAGTGGAGCAGGTGGTGGAGGAAGGAGGGAGAGTGCAGGAGCAGGCGAGAAAGGGATGAGAGAAGGGGGCGTGTCAAGGTTTGATGGAGTAGACAGAGAGCAGGTTCGAGAGGCAGGGGGGAGAGGAGAGGGAGCAAGCCAGGAGGGAGCTTACAGTGAAGTAGGATACTTCACAAGCTTCTGGTAGCAGCCAGGAGCACCAAGGAAAGGTGCAAAGACAGGTGGAATGCAGACGCTGGTCAGAGACTGCTTGCTTCATCTTCATCTCTGAAAAGAATGTCATGAGAGGTTGGAGTTGAGTCCTGAAACAACCTGACAGTTTGGAGAACTCCGCATGGGGGGAGTAGACCACCATCTGGAAGGACGAGGATGGGGACGAAGGCGAAAAAGGGAGGAGGAGGGGGAAGGTGTCGGTTGAGGAGGAAGGAGAAAGGAATCGGGAATCGCGGGGGGGGGGGGGGGAAGAAATGGGAAGGAGAGGCGAAATGAGAGAAAGAGTGGGGAGGAAGGAGTTGAATATAGAGATCGAGAGAAGGGAAGAAGAGCGAGGGGCAAACAGAGTGAAACGAGGGAATGGTGAGATAAGCTGTCACGAAAACAAAACTTCTTACTTGCAAACAAACGAGGCTGACCCCGCTGAAAATGTGAACCGACAGGAGAAATTTCCACAACACTGACTTGAAAGCTTTCCTGACCATGGTGCAGTCTCTCAGCACGTGTATAGGTAGGAGAATAAACATGAGAACAACAGGAAATTTGTTTTGGCGATCACCATGATGGGAGTGATTGAGGCATTTTGTCGGATTCAGATGTTTTGCTCGCAGACTTCTCACTGGCCTTGTTTCCCACCTTCATCAGATCTGTCAGGTGTTGTTGTGTACAAGCACATGCGAACATCCAGATCTATCTTTTCATGATCATCATCACCACCACCACCACCACCACCATCATCTGCTTCATTATCATCATCGTCGTCGTGGTCGTCGTCATCATCATCATCATCATCATCATCATTTTACTTGTCTCATGATGTTGAAGTGCAAGAAGTTGAACCACGAAAATGTCAGTCTTCCATACCTGCCCATTCTTTGAGTGAGATTTCTACACACAGCAACGTAAACTTTTATCACCACAAGCTGTCCGTAAGAAAGATCATCATTCCCACAGTCGCCATTGCCAAAATCTTCCAAAGTGTCGGCAACAAGTGAGATCTTGATAGGAAACAAGACCGTATGACGAGCCAGGTACGAGGCCCAAGACACAGCACTTGAGAACTTCTAGCGATTATGATGGTGAGAGGATACCATTGCAGTTTGAAGTTTTACTCCTTACCTTCTCCCGATGGAACAAGAAGATATCGACAGCGAGGCAAGAGGCCACGACGACGAAGTTCAATCGCAGATATACCGTGATAGCGCACAGCTTGAAAGCTCACATCAGAGATTGAAAAGTGCATGTCATCTATCAACATTTCTCTCTCTCTCCCCCTTCCTCCCCTTCCTCGCTCTCGCGAGCCCTCTTTCCTTTCCTTCCTTCCTTCCTTCCTTCCTTCCTGCTCCTCCTCCTCCTCCCCACCCCCCCCCCCCTATCACGCATACTCTTCTTCTATGAGGAAAGAGGCAAAGAATAATCATGTGGAGGATGAGGAAGTTTTGGACGCCAGTGCCGTAGAGCATGTAGTGGAGGGCCTCCCAGTAGTTGCCTGCCGGCCATGGTTGGACTTGCAGCATGCAGGCAGGGGAGGGGGTACCGGCTTCTCCTTGCTCCACTGAGAACTCAGCATTCCAGCATGCAAGGACCTGTGTGGAAGGAATTTCAACAGAGGTTGTAGAGTAGTTGTATCGTACCTGGAAAGCAACGCAGACAACAAGGCAGGAAGACAGCAGGATGTCAGTGTGCTTGTCGTCGAGCGACCTGTTTGAAGAATTAGGAACCATGGGCTCCTTCCACCATTGAGAAAAAAGATTGACCGGCCGTCGAAGAAAGCTTTCCAGGCCGGAACAAGATCTTGGTTTTCATCGTAGTCAGGATGATGAGCAGGATGATGAGAAGGAGGAGGGAGGAGGAGGAGATCGAGCAGGAGCAGGAGCAGGAGCAGGAGCAGGAGCAGGAGCAGGAGCAGGAGCAGGAGCAGGAGCAGGAGCAGGGGATCGAGGAAGAAGAGATAGTTTCTCACCATAGAGCTTCATTCTCTCCCTCTCTCTTATTCTCTTGCTCTGCTCTCCTTGTCTTACTCGTCCTGACCTGCCATGTCGCCGCCCAGTCGGGGGGGCTCAAGACGGATATTTTACTCAACTTATGAAGTTCGCAATGGCGAACATGCGAAGGAGGGAAGGAGGGAAGGAGGGAAGGAGGGAAGGAGGAGGGAGGGGGAGAGAGTAGATGGGGGGAGGGAGGATGAGACGAGAGCAGGTCATGGAGGGAGGAGATGGCAGCAAGGGAAGAGAGGGAGAGTAACGAGGGAGAAGGAGGAAGGGAACGTTGATCGACGGATGGAGAGAGGAGAGCAAGAAGACGGATCGGGCGGGATGATTCTAGGAGGAGGGGGCTACCTCGCAGGAGAGGGCGGAGCCGCGATGACCATAGTCGACGCCTCCTCCGAGGGCGCTGAGGGGGTTTGAATGGCTATCTATCCTCTATTCTTCCTCGCTCCCTTGCTCCCTCCCTCACTCATAACCGCCCTCTCCCTTCTCCTTCTGCTTGCTCTTTGTCTTGTTGAAACTTGTTTATATTTGCGCCATATATCCTATCCTCTGGCTGCTGAAATCATCCATGATAATATTTACGCGCAGAATCTCGTTTCCCTATTCCATGTTTGTTGTGAAGCATAACATTCAACATCTCTTTCATCTTTTGTTGAGCATCAACTTGTTCTTCACTACAACACCGGTCGCCTGAATTGTATCTTTATCTTTCCTTTCTTAGACTGTTCCCACTCGAACATGTCCAGATGGTTTGCAAAGACATCGAAATAAGGATCTCACACCGATCGTATACATACAAAATTCATTATGAACTAAGATCGACAAAATGAACAAGATGAGAAACAGGGGAAAAGAAAACTAGGAAAAAAACTTTCAGTGCCAGAGGGAAAATAAAACAAAACAAACAAGGTTGTGAATTGAAAGTCATCTTGGAAACAGTGACAATCATCACTCAGCTTCCATCACGTGGAGATCATCCACAGCAGGCGCGCCGTTGCCGTTGGAGCCGTTAGCGTGAACCGCATGCGACGAGGCTGCATCGTGCCGCTCTATGGAGATCCTGACTTGGAGCTTAGAGTTTCTGATCTTCTTGGCCTTCCGGGCGTTGACGAGGCTGAGTGACATCTCAGTCCCGCTCTTGGAAGCATCCAGCTCCTTGAGATCGATGATGGCAGTGCCGATCAAGTCGTCCTTGGTGATCTGGAGAACAAGACGTCAGCAGGGGCAGGGGAGGGCAGCCAGAAGGGTCGCAGGGGCTACTCACGTTGTCTCGGTCCCAGACGGAGATGGTGAGGAAGTTTGTATCGCTGTACATGTCCCATGAGAACTCTTGGTTCCACTTGGGGTTCGGCTCCTTGGAGAACGTCTCCGTGACGTACGTCTCCGGCTCCCCGGACCCATCGACGTAGGTGACACAGTAGGGGTCGCAGCTCCTGATCAGATCCATCCGGGGGAGGTCGGAGGCTCCAATGATGGTCAGGTTGATCACCCCTACCTTCCTCAGGAACTCCTCCAGCCGCTTCATCATGCTCTTCTCCACCGCCGGCAGCTGCCCGAGCGACTTCACCGCCAGGGACTCAAGAACTTGCGCCATGCGCTTCTGCTCGTCCAGAACCCCGATCTGAAGCATGTTCATCACCAGCAGACGCCTGGCAGGAGCAGCAGGGTCAGCGCACGTCAGCGACGGATGGAGGAGACGGGGAAAGGAGGGAGGAAGGGAGCTGGGTGAGAGAGGAGGGAGGGACTGAGCTGGTGGAGCCAACCTCATATTCTCGATGCCGACGACCTCCTTGAACTCTTGGTTCCTCCTATCTCTCTGCTCCAGCACGTTGCTCCCGTACCTCTCCATCACATCGAGCACCATGTCGTTGCCGTAGCCGTCCACCATCCCGGCAGTCCTGTCGTGCTGCCCGTCCTCAGTCTCCGGGGTCACTTGCTTGGAGCCCTTGGACGACTTGGTGTCGAGGAGTCTCTGAAGGCCGTTGATGTCGAGTCTCACCCCGCCGTGCAGGAGAATCTCCTTCTTGTCCTCGAGCTTGCGATTGATCTCTGACTGGACCTTGGACGTCTTGCCGATCTTGGCCTTCTCCTCCTTCAGCAGCTTGTGGAACTCTTCGTCCGACATGAAGCGTGACCCCAGGGGCAGGACTTTCCTCACCGCATGCCACACCACATCCGCTATCTCCTCGACAAGACCCGTCGCTCCCTCCGTCGCCTGCTTGACCGTAGCGTACGCATCGACGAGGATGGCAAGGAAGATGTTGAAGAGGATGAAGAAGACGATGAACATGTAGGACCACAGGAAGATGTAGAAGGCGAGCGGAGTAGCCGCATGGGACATCTGGACAGGCTCTTGTCAGATCAAGGCAAGCGCAAGTCAGACATCACCGAAGCATAGAACTGAGTTGCGTCTAAACTCAACAGCACGATGGTCAGCGTGATACAACAGTGAGAAAGATCTTGCATGCCCTGACACACACAGAGGCTTCAGACCCTGCTCGCGCCCGTGAAGCTTCACCCTCACTTACCTCGTATTGGTGCCCAAACAGCAGCACACCGACAATGGCGTATCCCAAGAACACGATGATGAAGAGGAGGACAAAGTGCCACAAGTCACTGGCGGCCTTTGCGATCGTCCTCGTCACCATCCCCATCCTCTCCTGGAAGTCGAGGGACTTGAGCATTCTGAACACAAAGAGAACGACCGACACGCCCGAGAAGAAGGAGAAAGTCTCCATCCAGCCGGTGATCTCCCTCATCGCGTTGGTCAGCTGCAGGAAGTCATACTCGGCAGCGTTGTTGGTGCGGAACATGCGCGCCATGGCAAAGTTGGTCACGCTGATGGGAACTTGGAAGGGAGTTGGCGCAGTTGCGGCAGACCTCCGAAGTGCGGAAGTCGACCTCCTCGAGGAGGTGGAGTTGCCGTACTCAGGGCCATAGAAGAGGATCGGGTAGTTAGTGTGGAGCTTGAAGGTGAAAGCGGAATCCCTGTACATGAGCCACGAAATCACTGAGCCCCACATGAAGAAGAAGTGGAAGAGGTCGACCCAGTTGAAGGGATCGGAGAGGTACTCGTAGAGCGCAAAGCGCTTGACATGCAGGAAGAGGTCTCGCAGCTCGATGAGGCAGTTGATCGAGAGGAAGAGGACGACGATCACCATCAGGACGATCTGCACGCGTGTGGGGTAGAGGATCCTGTCGATGGAGATGGTGTTGATCTTGTAGTTCCACGGGATGTTCCCTCCTGATTCCCAGTTGAAGGTGAACTCGGAGTACATGAAGATGTTCTTGACAGCATTGAAGGTCACAATCTCAACGGAGATCTCCTTGGTCTGAGAGTCGATGAACTTGCCATCCTTGGCAAAAGTGACCATCTTGAGGGCCTGCTTCTGCGTGAGCCTCTCATCGAAGTAGAGCTTGAAAAAGTCCTGAGAGTTCGCATCGATGTACTCAGAGGGCTTCCTGAAGAAAGATCGAGACCCCCCCGCCGCAAGCTCCTCTGTGCTCAACATCCCGTTCATGTTGGTGTCCAGCGCGTTCTGGTTGTATTTCTGAGGGAAAAAGCCCTTGGGAAAGCCATACACCACGTTGCCGCTGGCGTCGGTGGAGTTGTACCGCTCGCCGTAGCCGTAGAAGGTCTCGGGCCGGAGCTTGCCGTCATAGATGGAGCTGAAGGTCATGAACGTTGGGTCGTAGCCGAACGGCTCCGAGTCATACTCGTTGAGGATCGGGCAGCTGATCCCTGAGCCAGCCGACGAGGTGAAGCTCTTGACCTGGCCGTCTCGGATGTTATCGAGGCAAGAGTTCTGCTTCAGTCGCTTCTGAGTGACCATGACCGCCCCGACCAGTCGGTTGTAGGGCGTCAGCTCCCTCACCTTGGGGGTGAAGGATGGGATGACCTGTGGGCTACCCTGGCTCGCGCTGAAGTACTCCCAGACTGAGAAGTCGTGGTGATCGGTACAGGTCAGAGGAAGGCTCTCAAGGAAGGTGGCTGCGTTGACGCAGGAAGGATACCCTCCATACCCGGGGCACTTGTCTTGCGGGCAGAGGTTGTCGTAAGAGTCTCTGGTCCCGATGACGCAGGACGTGCAAGGCATGCACTGAAATGTCTTGGAGGTGCTTTTCTTGGCGCAGTAAGAGCCACTCTGACAGTCATAGTGAGTCGTGCACGTCTGATAGTTCCTCGTTTCCGAGAGCTCGGAAGTGATCGATGACAGCTTCAACGACATGGAGAGCTTGCCGATGCCAGCAAGCTTCTCGAATGAGGCTAAGACGGAAGCGTTCTTTGACAAGATGGTGTTGTACGCGTCCACAAGATCGTAGTTAGACCCTGCCAAGACAGAGACCTTGATCGAATACCCAGTAGCGTTGGTGTAGTTGTACGTCAACTCGGTGGCTGTTACGGACAATCCGATTTTCAGTTTGGCTGGGTTCGGCACGAAGTTCTGCAATGACTGTAGCAAGTGCTGCTGGTATGTCTCGTTGAAACTCGACAAGCTCCATTCATCGATCTGGACCTCGACGTAGAAGGATGGGGCGGGATACACAGTGAAGGTCTTCTGCGAGATATCGCTCATGATGTTACCACCCTTACATGCGACGGCATAGAGCGTAACGGGAGAGGCGCGCATAACAGTCGTGGAGAAATTGTAGATCTCTAACACGGTCGATGCTGCGGAAGCGTTAGAACATGACAGTGAGTCCTTGGAGTAGGAGTATGCGTAGTCGTTTGATCCTGAGGTGATGTTCAACTTCGCATACGTCACTCCGTTGGAATTGGGTCCAAGGTTGTAGTTCAAGATTTGTACAGGGAGAGTGAACACCTGAGAGATAATCGGTTGAGGTAAAACACAGTCACTCTCGGTGAAACTCATGCACAACGAATCCTTGCTGCCAAGACTGTAGACAGCATGAACAGTTGATCCTGACGGCACTGGGTAGGTGAAATGATAGAACTGAACTGATGTCGTGGAAGTGCTAGATTGAGTTGAAGTTGTTGGTGCTGCCGGGCCCGATCCCTGAGCAGACCCAGGCGGACCGGAAGGACCGCTCAAGACAGAAGGAAACTCAAGGCAATTGGACGATGGATCAGGAGGAAACCCTATCGCCTGGGTTGACAAAATGACGCCATTTTGACTACTACCAGTAGCGAGATTCTTCAGAGTCAAGCATGCTTGTTTGTCGAAGGTCAATGGACTTGTTGACGTCGTGCTCAAATAAATCGTGTTCTGAGCTTGTGTCGCCGTCTGCTGGCATACCGTCCGCGAGTTTCTACCGTTGAGACTAAGAGGAAAAGAACACGAAGAGGAAGACGTCGGCGGTGATGGTGGAGAAGGAGGCGAAGACGGAGGAGAAGGGGGCCCGGACGGCGTCGGTGTAACCGTTTGTTGAGACGTCGTCAAACCCGATTGGGAGGAGTTTGCTGTCGCCGTGGTCTGACCTTGAGATGCGGTCTGACCGGGTCCGGAGTTCGATGACGTGGTAGTTTGGATCGAATGAAGTTGACCTCCTGATCTTGTAGTTCCACGCAGGTACTGAATCGTGTCTCCTTGTGTCTGCTGTTTTGAAAGCAGCTTCCGTGCTGTAGAAGAGCGAGGTTCACCCGAGCCTCTGTTTGAGATGCCTCTGCGACCGATCGATCTGATTCTATCCCCCACATCCCGAGTTGGTACAAGTGAACGTCGTCGGGACTGACAGTTTCCTTGAGCCTTCTGAAAGAACAACTTGTTCTGAGAAGAGTACGCTCCCCCAGTTGTATTCGGCAACACAGAGCAAAACCCAACCTGGAGGTAGGCAGTGAGTCTCGTGACGTACAGATCTGACAAGGTTGCATACCTGAACCAAGTTCTCGGTGAGCTGTGAACTGCTCGGTTTCATAGTGATGGTGCCATTCAGTCCATAACTTGACAGAACCCGAAGAAACGTGTCTAGCAGGAAGAAGATCGACAATCAGTCCCAAGATCATGGAAACAAGCAAACATCACCGAACGAATACAGGCTCTGACAGTGGGGATCTGATGCGCCTTGCTGGGTAGAACAGTAGTTTGTAATTCCTTGTGAGATCAGGAAGGATGAAGTAAGATACTCTCTCTCATCGCCATATTCATAATCACTGAGGGAGCTCCGCGTAGGAACAGTACTGGTACATGTGTCAATTCAAACTTAAGAGCGTTTCAGCACGTACTTGGGATCGAAGGGATAGAAGTTCTGTATGGTCGTGAGGTCGACGAGTGAGCTCGTTTGGCTGGTTTGGTAGAAGACAAGGGTCAGATTGCCGTCAGGGACATCTACAGATATTGACGCCGATGTTGTCGGGGACTGATCATCAGCAAACAAGAAGTCTCCCATTGTCTCGCTGTAGATGTTGAACTTGAACCCAGCCTGTGCAGAGTTGGCAATGCTGTTGATGCTCTTCACATTCCAGCCAAGGGACGTCGCGCTGGTACCGATCACATCCTCGAGGTCGATGGTAAGGGTGGTTACTTGAAGGTAGTTGCCGCAGTCTGCAGCGCAACCAAACCTGCCGAATCCCGGATACTCATCCGGCGCATCGCATGTGCCGTCGCCACAGACGGGGTCAGTGAAGACATTGGATATGACAGCTGTTGACAACCACTTGTAGAAATCATCTGAGCTTGTCAACATTCCTGCTGCTCCTACATTTGAATTGGTGTATCCCCCTGTGCCGAGCGTTGGGAGCTGCCCAATGATCAGGTTGATGATCGAACTCTCCATGGCGAATGAGTCTGTAACATTGCGCTGCGTGAAGAGAAGTATGGCGAACAAGATGAAAAAGAGTGCAGTTGCAGATAACTTGAAGTAAGCATGAGATCTATGTAGTTTGTCTTGAACTTTCTCCAGAAGGCCATCAACTGCAACGTGGTGAGATTGATCTGGCTTTCCCGAAGAGGGCCCGAAGATCGAACTTGACTCCAGGTCTTCGAGGACAACTTCGACGGCTTCCATCCTGTCCTTGTAGACATGCGGAGGTTCGAGCAGAGAAGAGAAATCCTCTTCTTCGTTCTGCCTCCTCCTTCTGCCATGAATCGCCGCAATGAGCCCCCCCCGCGGCAGCATTGTCAACGACCTGAATCTACTACCGCCCCTCACTACTCTTCAAAGCTTGCTATAACCCCTTTCTGATCACCCCTACCCCTCTCAAATTTACCCTACCCTACATTCGAGCAAAGCTACCCGTACCTATCATACTACCCCTATTTCACCTCCGTCATTTCTTGGATTTGGACCCTTGCGAATGTCATCATACTGGGTTCACAGAGCGGCTCTTTCAACCTTAGGTGAAATTCACTATTCTACACCTATAAATTCAGCAGTGTCTACCCAGGCGCCTTCTCGAGAGTCCCCAGACAATGATCACCCTTCCTTCAAGAGACATTCATAACCCCTACCCACTCTACGTTTGTCCCAAAGTTCTGAAAATGCTCCACCACCACCCCCATGTCGTAGCCTAGACCACCCTCATATTTACTACCCCCTCCCTAGCGACATATTCATCACAAAGTCACGTGGTATGATAAAATCGAAATCAAGTGGTTTCGATCAGACACCCCTACCCCCTATCATACATACCCCCATGAGAAGTTCTGGACCCAATGGAAAGAAACTTCCTCTTTCATAGGACCCAGAGTAAACTGATTTCCTATTTGAACAAAGTAAAGGAATAGATAGGGCCTATGCCCCTACTCCTTCTTTAACGCCTACCCATGTCAAATTTCTCCCTACCCCCACCACCTACCTCTACCACATTCTCACCTGGTGCTGACAGGCCCCCACTCACTCAAGTAATAAAATGCCACTCTTTCTGCTTCAGGTACCCCACCTTATTACGTACCTTCTGGCTATAAATGAGGGGTGATTCAAGTAGGGGTGTGCTCGCGCTTTCCGGAGACCTCTAGACTGGTGGAGTGACCAACATGGTGGGGGGGTGGCATGTGGGCGTTTGCTAAGTTACAAGGGTTTTATAAGAATACTGAAAACTTTAGTCAAACAGCAATAATGAACTCGCCCCCTTGAAAGTTGTCGGTCCATCACTACCCCCACCATGAGCTCCTATGAAAATTGAAAGGGTACATAGTGATTGTCACTAGAGGACCACCCCTACTACGACCGGCCGGGACGGTACGGCACCGGGTGTGGACCCCCCTTTTCATTGTACCACGGTAAAAGATAAGGCAATAATAATGTAGGGCTGTCCGATCAAGTCACCTGTCACGGCCGCGTGACCTCGCCGGTTCAGTGCCCAGGGTGACTTTCACATTCAAGTTCATAGTACTAGTGTCTAGTGTCGATGATCAAAGTTTTTTAAAAGTCACCGTCCGTCCCGAGTCCGATCATCCGATCACTTCGAGGGGAACTCAAACGGTCAAGTTAAAAATCAGTCAGCCTGCCAGGTCTCGCCGTTTGGCCCGGCTGTGCGACAGTAGTAGTGTCAGGGTCAAGCCTCCTCGACTTTCATTATTGTCCTCGTACTGATTTTTAACTTCACTTTGAGTAAAGGGGACCGTCGGACAAGGGACGGTCCGATCGCTGGCACCGTGGCTTTTCCTCCGAGTCGACTCGGCGAGCCTCGGACTCGGGTACTATTCCTCGGAGGAATACTCCAGACTCACCGGGGGGGCCGGGACTCAGTGACTTGGACTGGTACTATCATAGTATCGGATTCGAGTCCCGGAGTCTGAGTGCTGCCGCCAAATCAGCGGAACTTGAAGACTGGTGGACCGGGAACCTTTGGCGGACTCATCCGGCCCGGATTAAAGACTGTACGGTCACGGTCACGGTGTCACGAGTCTAGCCATCCGAAATCGGTTCATGCACTTGAATTTTGCGTGCAGTGCCATGACCGACCGTGCCACCCGGTGTACCGTACGGTCACTGCGGCTGTGACTCCCGGCGGAGTCCGACTCCCGCCCGGCCGGGGGGGGGCGGCGCGGCCCGGGCCCGGGGCCGGGCCCGCCCGCCCGCCCACCTTCCTTCACCTGACCGGTTCATCGGACACAGTACTGTCCGGGACGGGGAGCGGCGGAAGGATTTCACACCGGCGCCGGGTAACGGTACCGGAAGTATGCCATGATGGGGGCCGCCGGGCCCCGCCGGGCCGGCCGCGGAAAATCAGAAGCCGCGGCGGCTGCCCCCGCTGACTCGGCGGGTCGGGTCGCGCCGCCCGGCCGCGCCGCGCCGTGTGACAGGCCGCCGGGGGTGAGTCCGGTCAGCCCGGCTGTGCCCCGCCGCCGGGCGGCGGCGAGCGCGGCGCTGCCGCTGCGGCTGAGCGCGGCGCTGCCGCTGCGGCTGAGCGCGGCCCCGGCGTGTCAGTGACCGAGTCCCGGGCCGGGCCCGGCCTCTCCGGGCCCGCGCCGGGCCGCCGGGCCGCGCCGCCGCCGGGCCGTGCAGCCTGCCGGGCCCAGGCTCAGGCACTGCCCGGCCTGGGCGCCCGGGCCGGCCCCCCCGCCGGCCGCCGCAGACGCGCGGCCCGGCCGGTGGCATTGAGTCACTGAGTCACTCAGCCTCCGCGGCACCCTCGGACCACCACTGTGACTCGTGACTACTACTGGCACGGGCCGTCATGATGATTCCGCGTGCAGTGCCTGAATCTTCGGAATTAAATGATGGCAGGCTTTCAAGTTTCGGAACTTACTCCGATCGGATCGGACGGGGCACTGAGGGAACTCCCGCGGCGCGGCTGACTTTCACAACACTGCGTGCCCGCTTGGTGCATGTCACATGGTTTCAACTTAACTTTGAGTAAAGGAGGTTACCTGCAACACTGTGACAGAACTGGTAACACCGAAATTTGAAACTGTGACTCGCTAGTCATTGTGGAATGTGGCTGATGTTCAAATTGTCCGTCCTCCATGCCCGCATCATTTGAGCACATCAACTTCTGAAATTGACTTAATCCGTCTTGTTGTGAGCTTTCACTTTGCAACCTGAAACATCTCCCTGATAGGTGAGAAGTCGATAAGCATGCTGAACGCCATCCCCAGCTCATATATACCATCATCAGGGCAATGTCAAGTTTCGAAGCCTGATGACCACGCTGTCCTCGACGTCCTAACATTTTCAACTCCCGTAACAAAGGTACCAAATCGCGTTGAAAACGCGATTATCTCATCTTGTACATCCTAGATACTATCTTGCCGCAATTTATTGTGAAACAAACAAGCATTCGCAGCTTGGCTCGCGTATGACTGGGAGTCAACTATTGGTTTCAGCCACACACACACTTTAGTGATGGTGAGGCTTGTAGGTTCCGTCGCAACGTTGCTGACGGAAACGTTACTGTTCAGAGGATAGGCATGAAGTCTCAAATCACCTGGAAAGTAGAATGCTTGGCATACTCCGACTTGGAAGAGGGGGTCATTTTCCACACGATGATGCCAGTAATCACACCACCAGCTGCAGCATCAGGCTCAGTCTACCCACGATGCCGGGTGCAAACCGAGTGCATCACCAAGAAAGGGCCAGACTTCCTCACGGCTCAACTCCTTGATCGACTTCTGCCAGAGGCTCATGGATCGGGAAGAGGCGGGCTGGCACCAGCTGCAGTAAGAGGGCAGAACGGAATGGGATTAAAGTGAACCTTGGATACAACACGCTGGGTGAGAGAACGGAGACCTTGAGCGATCATCTGTTGATCAAAGTCACGCGGATGTCAAAGATCGAGCTGGCGACGTCGACATGCTTGAAAACAACATGTACTTCGACTAGAAGCTGTATTTCTTGTCCACTACACATTGCAACTATTCTTCAGCATCACAACTCTAGCTTGATTTCCCGAGAAATGCTCCTCAGTCCCTTCAAGTACAAGGAGCAAATCATTACACGTCCTTGACAAACTCCTGTTCACCCCAACATCCCCCACTCCCCTCTGCCGCCTATCCTCTCCCGCATGCTGCGGCAAGACTTTTAAAATAATGTTGAGGCCGTAGTTGTTTTCATATTACTGATTCTACGTAAATATGTAAAAACAATTTTGAAATTATGTACTTCTCATACAAAAATCATTTTTATCATGCCATTACAGCAATTTTTTTCTATTGTATAAGAAGGAAATACCGCAACACATATTATAAATTTGTATAGTATCTTATTGTTTCCTTAAAAAGATCCCCCGTACTATTACAGCTCTGTGGTACTGATCCAGGCTGGTCTATCGGCGTAGTAGTCCAAGGCCCGGGCGGGCCCCGGGCAGCGTTCAGGTATGACTGAAGCGGTTATTTTGGTCGTTTCAAAGCGGTTATTTGTAACCGCGGTGTCGGAAATGCTGATGCAGCACGATCACGGGGGTGGAACTCCTCTTTTACCGGTATTAGGACGGGTACTTTTCCAATCCTTTTTACAGGGGTGGGGTAGTAGAATTTGTTGGGAATCGCAATGGCGATCCCGCGACAAACTGTTTCGAGGATGAATATCTCAAGAATGAAAATCTGTACAATGCAAAACAAACATTTTGTATTTAGAGATACATACAAATTGTCATTCTCTATACTTGTTCGCTTTGTACACGTCTTAATTTTTGACATTTTGTCCTTTCTATCTCTTCTTCCGTAGACTTACAACCAGACAAAGTTCGTAAACCCTGAAATCTAGGCATTTGTCCTGTGAATCCTCCTCGTGTATCCAAAGATTGAGTATGTATACGTTTCCGAGATCGAGGTTGGGACCTGCACTCATTCTCTTTGTCCCGTGTTCCTTCCTCTGCGTTGAAAAGCGTCTTCTCCCCGCGTGGTCTGCTAAGAATGATTCGCTTTTTTGAGTGGTCATACACAAAAGGCAGATTGGGATCGAATTTTTTTGAGAGCTCAGTGCATGCTTTGTTGAATTTCCTCAAGAAATCTTTCTTGTTCAAATGACCTATCAAAGACCAGAGGTTTTCAACGCTGTCTGTGCAGAGCGTCCGTGCATTGAAGTCATACTCCTTTTCACCCAACACACCTTTGTTGTTGCTCAAATAACTCTGTATCTGTAGATGTGTGTCCATGGCTACAATCAGTCCTTCGAAGGTTACAGATGACAACCCCCTCATGTGCCTCTTGCCCACCCTCATCCAATCCACATCTCTTAGAAGCCAGGTTCGAGCTCTAAGAATGAGATTTCTTCTTTCAGACTTGGTGAGGCCTCTCTCGTCGAAAGCTCTGTGAAGGCCGTTCATTGCTTCTGCCATTCTTGCTGTTTCAATGTGTCCCTCTGCATTCAGAAGCGATATGGCCTTGCTGCTGAACATTTTTAACATGATATCCACTGATTGAGGGTCCGTGCACCCATCGACTTCCAGCTGCGTTAGCCATGACGAATTCTTCTTGGAAATATCAGTGTACGCAGCATGCCATGTTTTAGCCTCTTGCTGTGCAGTCGGGTTTCTCCCCGAGCCAACCGTGTGCCTGACATTCTTCAGTAAATGATTGATACATGGCGCAAAGAAAAGTAGCTTCTTCGTGGTTGGAGAGATAACAGGGTTTGACAGGTACTCGTTGAATTGAAACCTAATCTTGTTTGGATCAAATTCTTCCAATCCATCTGTGATCAATCGTTCGAGCTCCCAAGGCGTGAATTTGGCTGTTTCATTCTCTGCAACCCCTTGTTGTATAATGCTATCATATCCATACCGTCGGCAGAAGATGTGGATTCTGCTGTACATCTCGTTCAAACAGGCCTTAGTTCTGGTGGCAGGAGAACACTGCAATTTCTTTTCTCTCTGGACCTGCCATATCAATTGGTTCCTCCTCAAACTCAAGACGAATTTCTCTATTTGGGCAAACTCTGCAGTGTTCATGTGCATTATTCCAGATCGAGTTCGAATTGTCACTTGGGACAAGTCAGGTCCATCATATTGGTTCATATTCAGCAAATTGCATTCTCTCTCTACTTCCTGTGCAGTAATGGCTGGTTCAAAGTCGAATACGCATGAAATGTATGATGCGATCTCTGAGCATATCTGTGATATGCTCAGCTTCTGGGCCTCTTGTTTGATAGCCTTCACCTCCGTTATGAATGTGCTTGGATTGTTCACGTAGTAATTCCTGTATATGCAAGAAAACTCGCCGTCAAAAGACCAGACATTGAAAATAATTCCACGCTCGTGAGCCTCCTTTGTAACGGCTTCCAATATTCGAAGACCTTCAGAGGCACTTAAACTTTTGGTTGAAAAACCAATGTACATGGGGACAGGGGGTGTGCTCGCACATCCATCTTGTGCAACCACACTGATGGCATCTTCAGCCAGTTCAGCAACTGTATGCTTGTAAAATTTCTCATTGTACTTGTACAACTCGTTTTGAAGTTCTGATTCGTTGACAGGCAGATCGCCATTCGCCATTCCCTCCAGTTTTCCTATCAATCGAGGAATTTCTACATCCATCTGTTCACAGCCTTCAATTACTGTCTTGAGGTAACGTTGATGTGGTGTGAACCTGACATCCTCTGGAGATTCGCCTCCGGTTCTATGCTTGGCAACAAATGCATTTCGAACCTTCTTGTATGCTTGCTCCATATCACTCTTCCTCTGATGCACACTCTGTTGATCGGATCTCAACATGCCAACCAGCTGTTCGCTGATATAGTGTTCTGTCTTTCCTGTCAAACAAAACTTTTCCTTGCGATCTTCAAGCAGGTCAAGTCGCTGAGCCAAGTCAGGTTCATGACTTGTTATACCCCCCAGATCTGCTTCACATTCCTCAAACACAGAACAAAATCCTGCATTTATCATTGTTTTGTCGATCGCACAACAGTTCACTCCAGTCTGACAATGCTCAGGATTCATTCGACGGAATTCATCCATCATAAATGTGCACACTCTGGACCTATCATTGCCATGCAGTTTCATGAGATGCCTATCTCGTTTCTGAAGAGTGGATGTGGATGGCAGAGGTAAGTTGTGTAACATCTGGTCCGCATCAAAAGTTCCAGTATTTTTGTTCCCCGGCCCTGTGAGCAAGCGATATAGACCTGAGGTGCCGACATTCCAAATTGATGCAGCGAAACTCATGACTTGCTCAGAGTATCGCATGCCTCTAGTGTCCTTTGTTCGAAAGCCTTGTCGTATCCAGTCGCTCACTATGAATGGCATGATGGGGTGTTTGCTCTTCATGCCATCTCCTTCCTGACTGGCGAACATTACGACATCTGAAACTATGTCGGGAAGCTCAGCAGAACGGAGGTTATCCATCGCCCTTTCAACATGGCAGATGGTGAGAAAGCACTTGGCAGTAGGACTTTCGTCATTGGATTCTTCAAGAGACTCATGCTCTTCAAGAATGCTTCGGATGAAATCACGTCTATCCTCCAATGGCATTGACTTGAAGTTCTCGCACATTGTATGTGCGAGGAGAGCGAATGCTGTTTTGATATTGCTGTTCTGGTCTTGGCCAATATGTTCAGGCCTTACATACCTGCATGTGGCATGTCAGTGCTCTGGTGCATTCCAGCTCGCTGGTTACCTTGAGTGATAATCGTGTATTTGCTTTTGTAGCTCGTCAACAGTGTCATAGTGCGAAGTGGCCCAATGTCTGATTTTCTTACACAATGCCTTTTGCTTTTGCCGATGATTCTTTACTTGAATTCGAAGCTTTTGCGCGTCTATGTGCAGCTGGAATTGATCATGATGCATTTTGGCATCTGCTCCTTGTTGAAACGAGGTGAAGTAATGAAGGAAACAATTTTTGAAGCCCTCTGCATTCTGTCCAAAGAGGTCACCTAGAAGCGTCAACTTTGCTCGCACATGAGAAGTGTTGATGGTGTGCTGGCTCAGCTTGAGATAACTAGCCGCTACTTGTAGCAAGCTATCATCCGCGTCGCTTATCTTCAACGTTGCGTGCCCGATGTTTTGCAGAAAATGTAACAATTTCAGCACCAATGCGTCAGTGAACACTGCATAATCCTGTACAGTTTTCAAGTCGATGTCTTTGAAAGCCCGTCGACAACGTGAACAAGCTTTGATGCAGTGTTGAGGGATCGTCCGAATACTGTTCGTACTGTATCTCGTCTTACAAATAGGGCATTCCTCTCTGTCTGCTGTCGTCTTGCTCATGGCAAGGATGCAGTGCAGATTGCCCGCCAAAATTCGGATTTGAATTTCTCCCCATGGCGCGTCATAGATCTTGCATCGTTGCCTTATACCCCCTGCATGACCACCGCCCTCGATGTGCATCGCGGTCGATGGGAGGGGTATTTAACTGAAAATTAGTACCAGGTATGGGCTAGAGGCAGTGGTTGGCCCGCGGATGAGATCGAATATAGTAGTTCCACCCCCGTGCAGCACGATGAGAAGGGGCGCATGGGGCGAGGAGTAGCGGAATGGTGGTGAGAGGAGAAAGAGAGGAGATGGCAGAGGCAGCGATATCAGATGAGGAGGGGAACATGGTCGATCCCCGGAGGTCTAGGAGCTCTAGAGTTGTTGGAGCACTTGCTGGTCCGTGGCAAGGATATGTGGAGATAGAAATTTGCGTTCTTTTTCGACATCAGAATGATGAATCATGTAAAACGTGGTTGCAAAGTCCATGATTTACTGCTTATGATCTGTGATGCTGATATGGTCTGACCTTGTTTTCGGAAACCCTGCCATGTTTTCTCTCAGATGGAACGTTGTTCGTTGTATGGCCTGATCTTCTAGAACAAGAGCTGCTGGAGCATCGAAGCTGATGTTATAACAACACAAGATGTTTGGAGCAGGTTTCGATTGCTTTTCGATGTTGCCAGAACTTGATCTTTGTTTCGCAGAAAATCCGTTGGAGGGCTCTTTGTCCTCAAAGGTAGAAAAGTATGTGGAGCAAAAGTATCGTCTTGACAGCATTGGTAGCAGCTCAACTACATCAGAGACACCTTTGCAGCTGTTTCCAGCATATCTGGTAATCAAGCTGAATCCTTGAACTTGTATCTGGTCGCATTGTTGTCCGAGTTTGTGATTTGTGCAATCCTGTGCCTTGGAACATTGGATGGTTGGAGGCCGAGAAGTGAATGAGATACTGAATGTCATAGAACGAGGAGATGACTTGGACCTGCGTTCTCGTTTGCTTTTCTGTGACTGTCGCCCCGCAGGTCACATCAACAGAGATCAGTTTGAAGAGGTGTTTCTGAAGCTGGAACTCAAACCCACCCTTGAACAGATCGATGAGGTGGTTTTTACCATTGTTCTCAACATTCCAGACATTTTGCTGTCCATTTTGCTGATCCTTTGTGGATCAGTTGTGGCAAAGTATGGACACGACGAATTGTGGGCAGGTGGACATCAAGGACTTCACCAGAGTCTGCGGAGAACTTTTGATCGCTACGACATTCCCAAGAGAGGTACTGCATTTCAATCTGCGAGAAACAGTTACAGATGTATTCTTCTTTGGATGAGGCTTTCATCTTCTCATTCTCAAACTTTCCATCTGCTCCTCCTCGCAATACTCCTCTGCCTTTAACTGCCTGCTCCCTCGTGCCTGCCGCTCACAAGCTTGCTTTTCCTTGCTCAGGGGATTGCCAGCTCCAACTCAACAGAAATGGCAGATTTCAAGGTACCTTGACTTCATTCGCAATCACAATTGCCTCTCACGTTAGCTTGCAGAGAATTTTCGGCACTCAGATTCCTCCTTGGCTGGAAAACGATGGCTGGCCTCTACAGTCCGAGTCCTTGGGGACGCAACTTCGGATCAACTGCTTGCAGACTCGGCTATCAGGGACTGGGGAGCTTTTCAGAATGCTGATTGAGAAAATCAGCCACCTGGAGGTGACAAGGCTCGAGAGCCTCTGAAAACTTATGCTGAGCATGTGCTGACCTTGAGCTGTGTGTATGAAGGTTTGTAGGAGCAGCCTGACTCACGAGGTAGAGGCATTGAAACCCTGTCAGGAGAAGCTGGTGGAGGTGGAGACTGAGTGATGCGTCCAGTTCCTCTGCTCCCTCGTCGCTCACCTGATCTCCAGGCTGAAGAAGGAGCAGGACAAGACCAAGTCCCTGCAGCGCGAGAACGAGTCGTTGACTCGGGACCTGAGTGTGCTAAGGAGGATGGTCATAGAACTTGGCGGAGACGAGTCCTCGCTGCCTGCGAAGCGTTCGGCTTTCACAAAGGAGCAGGAGCACATCTTGCACGAGCTGCAAGAGCAGGTACGATTGTTCCAAGTTCGAAAGCTCACCTCGCCTCGGCCTTGTCTTCCTGTCATCTTGACATCTCCGTTCCTCCTGTCTGCACAGTTGTCAGTGTCGCACCCTGACGTTGTCTAACCCACGTGCCGACACCCATTGTCGCCCCCCTGACGTCGCTCGTGTAAAGGTTCGAGAGTTGTCAATGCCGGACGAGAGGTACTGCAGGCTTGAGGAGTGCGTAGAGCAGGTACTGCTGCGTGCTAGCATGACCGTGCATGCCAGTATGACCGTCGTCTATCTTCTCCTCACATTCTGACAGTTGACTCGCACCAATGCCGAGCTGATCGAGAAGTGCGAGGCCTCTGAGTCTCTCCTGCAGTCCGTCCTGCAGGTTTTCGCCCCCTCCTCCTCTCCTCCCTTTGACGCAGGTCACCCGGAAGACGCAGTGACGATGGGTCAGGTGAACCAGTACCTTGTGTCTCGCCAAGATGACCATCTCAAGAAGTTACAAGACAATCAGTCAAAACTTGTTGATGCAGAGGTGATGTCGCCTCCTCGATGTCCTCCCTGCTTCTTTTCCTTCCTCCCTCCCTCCTCCCTCCTCCCTCCTCCCTCCTCCCTCCCTTTCCCATCCTCCCTCCTTCTGCCTCTCTCCTTCCCTCCTCCCTCCCTCCCTGTCCCCACCTCCTTTCTCCCTCCTCATTCTTCCATCCTCATTCCTGCCTCCTTCCCACCTCCTTTATCTCCCTTCCAACCTTCTCTGCCTCGTCTCCCCTTTCCTTGTCCTCTTCTTCTTCCTCTTCTTCTCCTCCCTTGCATGCTGCTCGCTCACATTCCTGCAGCTCGAGTGCAGCCGCATCCAACATGCGCAGATTCTCTCCAGCAAGATCAGTCAAGAGCTTGCAAGTCGCCTCGACCTCGCTGCTGTGCTGCTTTCCGCCAAGTTCGGTCCTGTTGAAGGTGAAGGAGGAGGTCGATGAGGAGGAGGCGGAAGGGGATGGGTCGGTGGGCTGGGGAGATGAAAAACTCTGATGCTGGTGGAAAGCAGGAAGTGCTGCGGGGGATGTCGAGCGGCAGCAGGACGAAGAGGAGGAGGCGGAGAGTGCCAACGGGGGGGGAGGGGCCGAGAGGGTCCAAAAGAGTTTGCAGAGGTTCGACGAGGGTGCGGAGAGCTGGCTGGCAGCTCACCAGCAGCTGGGGGAGGAGGAGGAGGTGAAGAAGGCCAGGGCACTCCGAGACAAAATCAGCCTTGTGGGCGAAGTGCTGGATGCAAGGAGCGCACTAGAGGTACCCGGCCATGCTACTGCTGCTCTTCCTACCGCTATGTGACCTCCTCCTTCTCGTTGCCCTGCTCCTCCTCCTCGTCCTCCTGATTATCCTCCTACTTCTCCAGTTGGTTCTCCTGCTGCTGCTGCTGCTGCTGCCCTCCTCCTGATGTGATGATAACGAGGACCATGGTGGTGGTGGTGGTGGTGGTGGTGGTGCTGCTGCTGCTGCTGCTGCTGCTGATGATGATGATGATGATGATGATGATGATGATGATGATGATGATGATGATAATGATGATGATGATGATGATAATGATGATAATGATGATGCTGTCTGACCTTCAAATGCCAGGGTTATCTTTACTCCCTGCGTGTCGCTGAGAGGAACGTGGAAAATCTTGCGGATGCCAACAGGTATTCGCTGCTGCTCCTCCCCCTCCCCTCCTCCCTCCTCTCTTCTCCTCTTCAACGCTCCAAGCTCACACCTACATCTTCGTTCTTTTCGTTGCCATTCATATTGTCTCCTCCTTCACGCAACTCCCTCGTCAAAGTCCTCGTCCTCTCAATTTTTCATTCTCGTCTCCTGCTCTTTCTCCCTCGCTTATTCTTTCGTTTTTCCTCCATCTGTCTTCCCCATCCTCTCCTCTCCTTTGTCTCTCCTCCTCGCATCTCTCGCCCGTGCTCGTTCCCTGGTCCTTTGTTCTCAGCTGACCAAACTTCGCAGTCAGATCATGCGGCAACTTCTGCTCCATATGCTCAACAAGAAGTCAGTGGATATGTCGAGATGTTCGAGCCTGACAGTCAGCGCAGGGAGGCCAAGGAAAGCTCGAGAGAACGAAGTAAGGATAGGATGGACAAGGGGGATGAGGGGGTAGTGGTTGACGTGAAAGGGGGGGGTCAGGGGGTCAGGGGAGGTGAGGAGGTGGGCAGTGAAGATGCGAGGTAGGATGAAGTGGTGGAAGGAGAAAAAGAGAATGAAAGAGCAGGAGGACCAGGACCAGGACCAGGACCAGGACCAGGACCAGGACCAGGACAAGGAGCAGGAGGAGCAGGAGCAGGAGCAGGAGCAGGAGCAGGAGCAGGCAGGAGCAGGAGGCGGAGCAGCAGGAGCCGCAGGAGCAGGAGAACGAGGAGGAAGGAGAGGAGAAAAGGGAGGAGGTGGAGGAGGAGGGAAGGAAGGAGGATGCTCGGCGGGTTGAGGGCTGATTGTTGACTTAATTTGCAGGTTCAGAAGCTTATACGGTAGCAAGAGAACAAGCAGAGCTCTACAACTCTCTTCTTACTCCTAAAGTGGTAATTTCTTTTGTTCTCTGCTCCTTTATTCTCTTCTTCCTTTGTCCTCCTCCTCCTCCTCCTCCTCCTCCTCCTCCCCCTCCTCCTCCTCCTTTTTCTCTTTCCCACCAGCATTATTCAATTGGTCTCCTCAGGGCCCGGGTTCCAGCACTCAGAAGATGCCCCTGGTGATAGGAAGGAGAGATTTGAGCGGACGATTCTG